GCACAACTCTCGCGGACTCATGGGAACATTTGTCAGTTCAGTCTATATAGGACGTCGCCTTCCACTCCGTCTGTAGCTAGGCATCATCATCATCAGTAGATCATCCACTCATTCTTTCCCAGTCCGCGTGAGCGGACGACACCAGTACCAACCGATATTGCATACGAATTTCGACCGCCAGCGGTCAGATCCCCTGCATGGCCATTCATCCTCATACTTCATCCACCCGACTGGTGGCCGTGGTGTCTGGATCCACCATCGGCGAAATCTTTCTCGTCACTGGGCAGCCGCTCATGACTGGCGTTCACGCCAACAGCGGAGGACCAGGTCCTACGTTAAACGATGTTTCATACTGAAAGACGCGAAGTCTCGATGATTCCCGTGCTAAGTAGTAGTCACGTTTCCACTCAGGTCCATAATGCCCTTTGGATGCACCTGGCGGTGCAGAGACAGTCTCGCCGCGCTCACGTCCTTCCATGACCTGTTGTTACCTCTTGTTGTGCGCTCGCTTAAGTACAATTTTTCTATCACAAGATGGTCATTTTCAAACTCGTCCTCGTCTTTGCGATCAATATCTACGCACTCCTCCCGGCAGCCTGTCCCGCGAAAAAGGTCCATACAGTCATCTCAACGACGACAGTCACGAAGAGTCCCCATGAAACCGTCGTTAGTCGCTGCCTAGCCACAGGGGCCAACAAGGGCCCAAAATGCCGGTGCCAGATACTTTGACAACTCCATCCAAGATACCCACGTCATCGAATTCTTTGGCGGTTCCATCTGCCGCGCCTACTGCTGGGCAATACGGGTATTAACTGTGTGGGGACAAAGTGTATCGCTTAAGCTCGCGCGACCAGAAATGTACGCTCGATACCATCATTTACGTGGCCTGGACACATCTACGAAACAGGACTCGCACTCAGCAATCAGCAACCGCCTAGTTCGAATGCTCGTATTGCGCCGATCCCTATGATCCAAAACCGACGCTTGCGTCATCCCTGCTGTTGAATGTCCCATAGACGCACTACTGCAGTGGGGCGTGGGATGGCAGTGGCCGTGCAGTGTTGTTTGGCAAGCCTATAAATAGAACTCAACGTCAAACCATCCAGCGCTCGTAATACCAAGTCGCCTGCGGACAGTAGAGACTCGACATGAATACGAGCGGGCATGACACCGGCCGTGGCAAGCCCTGCTACGTGACTGGGTTGTCAATACCTTACCAGTTCCTGGCAAGGCATCTACCAAACCTCGAGGAGTTCTATCTGATGGACTACTTCGTCGTCGAAAAGTCGGACTCCGAAAAAGCGACTTGGGACATTCTCCACGGAAACGGACGCGATGGCGGCAAGTGTTCCGCCAATGCCACCTAAGCCACCGCTAATCTCTGGCGCAGGGTCACAACAACGAACCTTCCGCGCGAAGGATCGCATCTTCCACGAAATTGTCGGCGATGGATCGAGCGACCGCGCTTGGAAGTCGGACTCCAAAACAAGCAAAATTCGAGATTGGCTCGAGCACTGCTTCGTCCAGTACTGTAAGAAGAGTTCACTCGCACGCCACACGTCCCCCGAAAACGTTCACTTCGGTATCCTTGCGTGTCAGTTCAACATGCCAGTTCCATCTCCGTCAAAGGTTACGACATCCCCATCATCGGGAAGGCTTCGACCTGCGCGCGATAAACCGACCAGAGCAAAGGCTAGCCAAGGAAGCAAGCTTCTTGGTAGGTACCCACCAGGTCCTTTCCAGTGGCTCAACAGGGAAGCGCCCAGGCCAAGCATGCATAGACTGCCTGACGGAATCGTCCCGACCGTGTGGGTTGACGGTGGGGCAGAGAACGGAGTTCTCGGGCGGCCAGCGCAGGTGCAAGGTCCTCGCCGGTCCCAGTCACGGTTACGACCTTAGCGAAATGTCGCATGTCTCACCTGCCTTCAGTGGTAGCAGCTGCAGTTCCCACTCATGGCATCATATGCCATTACGGTTCATAAGTCACGGAGCGTCGGAGCATCACGGTGGACAAGATGGTGACAGATCTGTCTGAACGGGACTTCCAGACTGGGCTCAGCTATGTAGCAGTCTCCAGGGTCAAGACATTAGACGGGCTAATGATCGATACCCCTTTTGAACGGGCATCTCTCCACTATGAGAAGCTACCTGATGGCAAGTAGAGCTCCATTATGTTATTCATGCTTGAGGCTCTATGAGCCCTAACAGATTAGCAGGTGTTCTGATGAAAGTTCGCGACGAGCATCGGCGCAAGCAACAACAACTTGACCAACCACTGTTCCAACCTCGCTTTTCTTGATGACGTCGCTACAATGCACAGAGAGGGCCAAACCTCATCATTGTCATGCACACACCGGCCCATGGTGGCTAGCGCATAGCCAGAGTAGTAGTACGAACATCATATCATAGAGATACATCCTTCGGACTGTATTACACCCTCCCCACCTCCGGTGAGGGTGTCAGCATATTTAACTAACATATGCACCGTGTACGAAGTACCTACCATCTGGTCAGAGGCCTTGTCATGTTGAAGCATCCGAGTACCTGTCCAACGTTATTCCTGAGCTCCACCGTCACGTTCGATGCTGTTCGAGAGCCAGTTTTTGGCGGAAACAGCAAGGGGCTATTCAGGGCATCTTGATAGTTAAACCGTGGAGCAAGTTGGGTCAACATCGAATCTGTTTTGCCTTTGACCTTGCGTGAAGTCGAAACACTCAAGTTGCCCGTCGCCTAGATAGAACAGCAAGATCCGGCCGAAGCTGTCGACAAGACATTCGAAATTGACGCGGGGTTGCTTCCGGCGGAGTCTCAATAACTCTTTTGCAGTCTTTGATAGAAGAACGAGATCGTCGTGCGTGACCACGATAATGAACCTGTCAACGTAAGGTTCGACATGTGCAGTATCCGTCTCAAATACTCCCTCCTCCCGTCCAGAAGGTGAGAATATAGTGAACTTGCCATCCAGTCCGATGACGTGCGTGCCGTCTGAGAACGCGAACCATCTGGTCCCCTGTGAGTGGTCCTTTGTTGCCCAAAACTTGTGGGACCTGAGCTTTTCTTCGTTTCGCCGTGCGACTGGGGGCTCGGTATAGCTCCCGTCTAGACCAAGAAATTCGAACTTGTCGAAAACTTCATCCTCCTCACCCTCAAAGTTGACCACGAACTTACCGACCTCGATGGTCAGTATGCCACCAATCTCACAGACACTGAAGATCTCAATATGTCCTAGAGGAATAATATGCGATGCAATAAGGGATCCAGGGCCAGGAATGTGCGCATCCATGAGACGCCATATTTTTACTGTGACAGAAGAATACGTCACGAGTATGTCTGGCGATTTTGTTGGTGAGAATCCTCTGATGCCTTGGTGAGTGAGATTGGAGACGTGATTTACACCTCGTTCGTCCCGAACTTCGAGGCCGAGCTCACGCTTCAAAACTACAATATATCGGCCAACGCGTATGCACGGGTTGACCGCTAGATTGGAGATTGGTTGAACGTCAGTCCAGGAGTCGAATGGCCGGCTCACAAGGTCACCAGTCTCTCTTCCAAGCCATATTGAACTGGTAGATCCGACATATAGAGACCCATCCGACGAGCACGTCCAGGCTGCCTCGTCCCTTAAAATGCGGATCAGCCCGTTCTCTAGTTGGTAGACGCAACTAGAGGGCACTCCGTCGGTAATAGCCGCAAACATGAAGGTGGTTGGGTCCAAGGCCCTGCTCTTCAACATATTGGTGACTTCTTGCGAGTCTGCATGTATGGTGTGCACAACCGCAGTTGCAGCAGATCCGCTGTGGACGAGCTCAATCGTTCGCTCTAAAGGACCAAGGGCGCCGGCCGGGAGCACATCGTCATTTAACTTCGTGGTGTCTGAGTCGTGCAATAATTGTGCCATGGAAAGGACGTCCTGCTGGGGCTTCCCCACTGCCATATCAAGGTGTTGCTGTGG